ACAGACGCCGCTTGTTTGTGTATTGTTTGTTGATAATTTTATGATTTGTCCTAGTTTTGGCTATTTATACCCTAATATCTTACGTAGATCTATATAGTATTATCATCAGACTACAGGTTTAATATTAATCAACACTATTCCACTATTTTATAATAATATAAATAATAATAGCAATAGTAGTGGTAGTAGTAGTATTAATTGTTGTACAAGTAGTAGCAATAGCAGTAGTGGTTTCTCTTAATGGTATCCCACTCTAAGACGTGGAACGGAAATATGGAAAACAACTCAGGCAATTACTAAAAAACTACAAATATTTATTAACCGGTGTTCGGCCAGCGCAAAACAGATGGAATTAAATTGTATGATAGAATCACGAATGAAGAGCTTTGGGGGAGAACTTAACAAGTCCCAGTGGACAAACAGATGGGGAATAAACGCTGGCCTTGAATAGGACACACTGAGAAAACCTGAGAACACATTAACTAATTTGTGACACATTATAGACTGTCTTTAACCGCCAAAATAGTAACGGTGATAGCAGTGGTAATATATAAACCGTGTATCAGCAGATTACTAGAGCAGATAACATTACATGCCATTGAGTATTAGTTATGTATACGACAGTATTTGGGGAAAGGAGGGGGGGGGGAAGCGCCGCAGCATAAGAAACATGGGGGAGGGACGGGGTGCCAACTGCATCCAACCACAATGTCGGCCAGACATTGCCACTGCCAAACGCTTTAAGTAATACTGCCAATCCTTATGGAAATTACCTGTTTTTAGCTATCCGGGTGGGGTTTGTCCCCTTAGTAGTGCTTTACAGCCTGTCCTATAGAGTCTTTTGATCTAAGTCTATGACCTATAGCATCTTTTGATCTTAGCCTAAAGACTTAGAAGCGACTTGACCCATATATCGGACCCTGAGCCAATAGAAACCACCAGGATTTTGAGTTCGCCAGAAGTGTGTTGCTTAATGACCGATTCGCCCTTTTGATCTAAGCCGAGAAAAGATCAATGATTGCACTCGGGACATTCCCGTATGTGCTCCATTCCTATCTTCAGCAGCTAGCGCACAGCTACAGTTTTGATGGTAGCAGGAGAGGTCTGATCCTGGTCACTTCCTACTGCACCAACTGGCTTTTTTTTTTTACATGCGAATCCAAGGAAAAAATCCAGAATTCCAGTTAAACCATAAGGAGAGGTTACATCTGGACAAGCGGCGGTTAGAAAGTAACCTTTAGTCCAATGTGGGCAGGATTTCCTCTCTAGGATTGTCGTCTGTAAGATTAACCTCTCAATGATGACAATTTAAGTGGTACAAATCGGGGAAACCTGGTTCGACTGCATATTATGCATCTGGTTCTTACTGGGGCAACCAAAGGTAAGCAGTCTGAAGTAGAGGCTAGGCTTGGGCAAGAGGTAGATAAGCATTAACCTCAGATCACAACGTTCGTTGATCAAAGCAGAGCATCTCCATGGCAAAGTGGTCAAGCTGTTTGCCTCACGACCTTAAGTTTGTGGGTTCGTTTCACGACTGCAGTTCGGAAGTGCAGTTTTTACGGAGATCACTGGGGATCGTCGCCGGAGCTAATGAGTTCCTGCTCTGTGCGATGCTTTCAACAAGCGGCTAGCCGTTCTGCGGAGAGAGACTGGGCCATGTGGGATAACACCCGGTGCAATGAAGTCGATCCTCTTGACTGAAAACTTTTGTTTTGTATCATTCCTTGACAACAACGAAAATGTCCCGTCTGTCATACCCTTTGATAATGAAGATGGTGATAATAATAATTAAGAGTAGTAGCACTTTGTCCCCACGAAATATCACAAACCTACACAGCACTAGAGAGTTTAAATTTAATAGTTTGCCACTGCTTTCTGAAGGGCATTTATCTATTGTTTCTTTTCTCCATTTCCAGGTTGTTAATTATGGCATGGGAGGTCACTATGATGTACACTTGGATTCCGTTAATAAAGTTAGTCATACTAATACTGAAAATGCTATTACTGCTGCTGCTGCTACTACTACTATTAGTTCTGCTGCTACCACTAACACTACCAACACAGTACTACATCTACCACCACCACCACTTCTGCTGCAACTACTACTACTACTCCTCTGACAACTACTATTGTTATGATTCTACTACTACGACCACCATCCCTACTACCACTGCTGCTGCTGTTGCTGCTATGGTACTGCTACTACAGTCAAACTACTATTGCCTCGCTACTGTACTGGCGGATTTTCTTATAAGCACGAAAGGGCATATTGTGATCTTACTTTTAAAATGTAACTGCATTGCACTGCGAAGGATAAACAAACATTAAAAAATGATATTTACAACTGATTGACAGGCTGATAAATGCTGCTATTGCAAACTATATATATATATATGAATGGGTACTTACAAGAGCAGGAATACCAACAGTGTACTTTCTACTGAAGCAAAGACACCTACGCTGGTTGGGGCATGTCTCTCGCCTGGTGTACAGTCGCATTCCAAAGAATCTCCTTATCAAGAATTAATAAGGGGATAAGAACTGCAAGAAGACCAAAGTTACGCTATGACATACACAAACGCGACCTGAAAGGGAGAGAGTTGCAAACCGACTCCTTTGGAGGCAGACGGTGAAAGACGTACTGCAGCAGTCTGAAAGAGACCAAACGCGGCGAGCTATTTAGAGAAGTCGCCTATGAGAAAACCAGCCTTGAAGGGAGAGTGTATCAACGTCTGGTGGACTATGTGGCAGAGACTGCCACTCACGCACTGAACTTTACAGTCACAACAGACACTGTTCCAGACACCAGCAGCACAACTCCATGGTCCCCAGTGACTGATGGTTTCCATTCTATGTAAAAAGGTGTTGACAATGATATTTACAACTGATGCTCGCCATACAGATATCGTGCCCCTATTTTTGCTCTCAACAATTTCATTTTTTATATCACTCGTTTCCATGTGGGGTGTAATTTTAAGTTATGCTGAAGTCCCACCCTGCCTTTTGCTGGGGGCCCTAAATAAAGCCGGGCCTGAAATATGGCCTAACGGCTAAACAACGTTCCGGGGCCTCTCCACGAGTGATCCTCATCCGCATGGTAGCACTTTGTGTCACCGAGTGTTTATCTCTTGTGTGATGTCCTGGTGGGGTACAACTTACCTACCTACCTTTCATGTCTAACAGAAGGACATAGACGAAAGAATGCTATATGTCCGTACCCATGTTGTTGGTCTCAACAGTATCAATATTCTATCTAACAGAAGGACATAGACGAAAGATCGCCTCTCGCTAAGTTTAGACCTGGTGATAACAGAATGGCTACTTTTCTTATTTATGTAAGTATTTAATGTTGCTGTTGTTGTAGCTCACACCTCTCCTTCGATTTGTTCTTGACATGAAAGATATCAAATCAGACGAGAGGTAGAACTAATTAGCTTTACATTATCACAGTCATGCGCGACAAGTGAACGGTTTAGATAGAAAGCCTTTATCAGAACATGACATGAACAAGAAACGACCGCCTCCAGTATGAGCCGTGTGGCTATCATCAGCTTGGCATGACGTCATCACCCCAGGCTAATCAAAAGGAAAAGGCCTTGGAAAGGACAGTGTTACAGTTACAATCAGTCACTCTTGAAGGACGTAAAAAAATTATGAAGTGACAGTGACTTTGTTTTATTGTGAATCAGCAAGCAGTACATGTCAATAATGAGCATGAAGTTTTCAAGTGGTAGTGCAAGATGACAACCACTTGTATATGTCGCCTTATTTCAGTTATCTGTATGACGACCCCTGATATATGTCCCGAATATTTTACTTATCTTATGACGACCCCTGATATATGTCCCCAATATTTCAGTTATCTGAATGACGACCCCTGATATATGTCCCCAATATTTCAGTTATCTGTATGACGACCCCTAATATATGTCCCCAATATTTTGGTTATCTGTATGACGACCCCTGACATATGTCCCCAATATTTCAGTTATCTGTATGACGACCCCTGATATATGTCCCCAATATTTCAGTTATCTGTATGACGACCCCTGATATATGTCCCCAATATTTCAGTTATCTGTATGACGACCCCTGATATATGTCCCCAATATTTCAGTTATCTGTATGACGACCCCTGATATATGTCACCATATTTCAGTTATCTGTATGACGACTTGGGCGCCCCCCCCCCCCTCAGTTTTTTTTATGGGGGTAATGTGATATATGTTAAAATGTAAATATTTTTCAGTATGATCTATGTTAAAACGAGAACACTCTTTGATGCCAACTATGTTAGAGTGTGAAAACGTTTCAATGCGATCTATGTTAGAATGTGAACACCTTTTAATGTGTTTGTTAGACTGTTAACACTTTTCAATATGATCTATTGTAGAATGCGAAAACTATTTTTGTTTCTTCTTCAGAAAATGGCTTTGTTCTGGTACAATTATAGGCCATCGGGGAAGAGAGATCTGCTAACATTCCACGCTGCTTGTCCCGTTGTATTTGGGCAGAAATGGGGTGAGTCGTGTGTTGTACCAGTCATCATCGGCATCCCAATTTTTCATTTCTGTCGTTAAGCGAAGGAACAGTTGTGGGGAGGAACAGTTTGTGATCCATTGCTTGATGGGTATCAATTGTTATGCCAATATAGAAGCTCTTTAAGGTCATCATTCCATTTTCTCATAGGGCGGCCTCTTGCTTTCATTTCAAATCTTTTCACATGTAGCGCCTGCGGTTGTAGCTGTTCTGTCTGTATTCTTACTAAATGTACAAACCGTGTGATCTTCTGTTTTTTAATAAATTTGCTGTATTGTGTTGTTCCTACAATCTGTCCGATGATACCATTTCAAACTTTGTCTCGGGTGTTTGCTTTGGCGATTTCTTTCAGGCATCTCATTTCACCGGTGGTAATTATCAGTAGGCAATGTGATAATGCCGGCGTCTATGGCTTAGGCGTTGCGAACGCGCTTCGTATTGCCGGAGGGCCGGGTTCGATCCCAGCTGCGGGTCTTGCGCCTCGCGTTGGTTTCGACAGTGGTATCTAGAAGCTGACCGTCCAGAAAACAATGGCAAACTACTGGAGTAACATTTGCCTAGAAAAATTACAACAGCCAAAACAATGTTGGGGTTGGTTCTGCAACGTCCTGTACAGGATACGCAACTAACTTTTTAAATGTGATAATGTCCAAGTCTGGTACTGGTAGTACAGTGTTAGTATGAATATGCTGTCTATAATCTGTTTCTTGGCTCTCATACTTTTGTTTCGATGTCTTAATAACGGTGTCAGTTGGTATATTGTTTGTTTTAGAATGCAGAAGCCATGAGTTGTTAACCCTTAGGCTCGGTATTATGGATATCGCAACCTTTCGGCCTTGATTCCATTTTAAATACCGTAAATCTGGGAGAAATGTGGCTTTTCTGCCCACCCCCGGGAGTGAACCCGGACCACAGGGAGTTCGTCACCCGGTCACCGCACAATCCGGTTTAGCCAACTACGCTAGAGAGACGGGGTCAGTTTGTATATAAGAGCATTGGCTCGTTGGCATCTTGTTTCTATTTCCCGATCTATTCTTCCATCCTCCGAAAATATTCTTCCTAAAAATTTTAATTGTTTTACTTGCTTCAGACAGGTACTATTCAACCCGATCTATAGTGGGCTAGGAACTCTGCTGACCCGCATAACTTCAGTTGTGGTATTTATTTTCATGTTATTCCTTCTGCATGTTGAACTTAGCCTGTTTAAACGTTAGTGCTGTCTACTCCACTCTTTGTAGAAAGGCACTGATCGTCTGCAAACAGAACCTCTTTTACTGTGTGTGGATCTCATTCTTCCCCTGGAAAGATAAGCTCTTCATTTTCTGGATTTTGTACGGGTAGCATTCAATAATTATAAACATAACATTTATATTTAAGGGAGTTGCCGTGGCGTTCGTGGCTAGACGCCCGCCTGCGGATCGGAGGGTCGTGGGTTCGCGTACGCTGGACTTTTGTTTCAAAAATGACCTAGACTCCCTTGTCGACCCAGCCTTCAGCGGATACCAGGTGCTGTCATGGGAAGTAAAGGCGGCCGGCGTGATGCTGACCACATCTTCCACCAAGTGCTGATTGGTCAAATATAGGTCTAGCCATATATTCCCAATACACCTACAGGTTTGGACCTTTACTTTTACTCACATTTATATTTTTGAAAAGTCTACTTCTTCCTTATTTCTAGACCCTGTCTGTCCTCGCAGTGGCAAACTTCGAAAAGGCATCTCATACGAGAGGGAGCTACTGTAGCATAGTGCCTTGGCGCTCACCTACAGGCCCAAAGGTTGAATTCGTCGTTGGAGCTACGGAGTGCCTGCTCTATGATTGATACCATCTTCAGGTGGCAAATGAGAGAGTGGGAAGAGAAGACGAGGAAATGGAGAGGGAAGACGGCATAGAAAACACGGAGCCCGGAGAGTCAAGCGAAAAACTTGGGATTAAAGCATGTTTGAGTGGGTTACTGTGACTGTCTTAGTGTCAAGCACCTGTACTGGGGAGACTGATTTATGACTTTGATATCATTGTGCTGCAGGAAATCACTTTAGGTCGTGAGTGCCTGGCCAGCTGGTCCTGCAGAATCAGAAGTTTAATATATGATTCACGACTATTACCGCCCAGCTGATGGGATTATCTACACAGTTAGCTCTATGCTGAGAGGCTGGTATTCACGGCTTCAGATATTCCGTCTGTATATCGATTGTGTGGTTGACCTTCAGTTCTGGTTCTATTTTGTCTGAGTGACAGGACTGTCTTGTGGGTCCACTATCTTGTGGTAATCTTGACACATGTTCGAGCGATTTGATCTATTTTTTTTTTTCAATATATATATAGTTTGGCACTGGTTCTATACTTATTTGTTTCATAATATCACTTCTGATCCTGTTTCTTCTCGTCACATTTAAGATTCATTGCAGACACATTTTTGTTTTGTTTTTCCTGTTAATGTCCCATATTTGACACTAATGCTGGAAATATTTTGTATTGAACAGTGCTTTTTTGTGGGTATCGTTGAAAATTCTGCCTAACTCTGTTTGTTGTTAACTTAAATCTTTCTTTCCCATGTTGCTGTACAATTTTCTTTCACAAACATTTATTATTGTCACTTTGTTCAAACCAAGTTGTTGCTGAAGTAACTATATGTCCCATATCATTGTAACTTTGTCTAAACCAAGTTGTTGTTGAAGTAACTATCTATTTCTTGTAACTTTCTAAACCAAGTAACCACATAATTCTTTCTGTCCCAAGTTGGTGCTACTGTAAATTTGCGTTACGATAATAACTCAAGCTGTTACTGGTGTAATTCTTTCTATTCCACATTTTTTAAAATTTGTTACATGATCGTTTTTACTTTCAGTAACCAACAAATGGATCTATCTTCATGCAAACATGTTCAAGCGTCGCTGTGGCCTGACTCAGAAGGCAACACAATTGGACATAGATCAGTATATGGTCCATGGATGGTTTTAGACCAACCCAGCTGCCTCCATTATTAAAACAAAATAATTTATAATTTAAGATTACGTTGTCCACTTCTTTTTTGGGGAAAGGGGATGGGCGTCAATCTGTATTGTTCTCCCAGTCTTTCCTCTCGTACCCTGGAAGTAGGCATTAGATCCTTGGTTTATTTTACAATATTATTAGAAAACTGTATTAGCTTGGAATTACAACAGCTCACAGAAACCAGCTTTAGGTCTAGGCAAGGTGGTCCAGGCAACAAGATAGGACTAAATTCACAATCAGACAATATGTCATGATCTCAAGACCCAGGCCTTTCAAACTCGAGCGGATCAATCAGTTACAATGGTTTGGACATGCCTGCAGATTGGAAGTGAATCAGCTACCATGGCAGGTCAAGAACCAGGGAACCAAACCTGCAAGACAGCCCAGGGTTTGCTCAGGAGACAACATCCAACAGTCCATGACTAATAAAGGATTGGAACGGAACAAGGCCAAAATGAAAACTGCTCACACGGAAGTCTGGCGAACTCTTTGCAAACCTCTAAACCCCAAGGTTTCATTATCAGGATAAAGAATAATAGCACCAAAAACATTTTAATCATATTTTCAAAGATTTTAAGCAGGCTTTTGAGAATGCTGCACTCTTGGATAAGACAAGAACACATAACATGCCTAATACCCTCATTTGTACTATAGCACAACTTTATGTTAAAGCCAACAGTGTCATCATGCTTAACAGACACATGTGGGATGGTTTTGAACAACTGTAGAAGTCAGACAGGGCCGCCTTTTCTCCCCCAGGATTTTTTTTATATCTCCTTGAAATAACAACTGATGCTCTAAAAAACATCCAAGAACAGTTAGCATAGGAGGAACCATAATACATCTAAGGTTTGCATATGACACCACAGATTTACATATAATCATTGAATCAAAGACAAGATGAGCGAGTTATGAGTTAGATTATCTTCACAGCACTCCGGACACATCCATGGGCGCTCAAAGCAGTCAGAAGATGGTAATACATTTTAAGTACCATTATTTATTTTACAAAGAAACAACATACACAACAGCAACAAAATAAGCAGCAACTTGAATTGCTGAACATTATTTTAAAATTGCTTTACAATAAACAACCTGAACCAAATTTGAGCGATTTTTCTTCATATCCGAAGAAATGTGTACAAATAACAACAGGATATCGATTCAACAACAAAATTATCAGTTTGTACCAGACTGACTGATAAACATAATACCCATCCCTGATCATGGTATATTCATTACAAATATATTTCTTCAAAAATATAGAAGCCAAATGCAGTGATTCAAACAATAATATCAATACAGATGTAACAATGATCAAGAAGCACACATGTGATACAGAGACTATAAATGCACTTTAAGTACTGGTGCTCCTAGCAACCTTACATCTCCCGAAGCTTTTCCACCACAAAGTCTGCAGCTAACTTCCATCTTTCACTAAATCTTGCCAGAAAATGCCTTGTTTGCTGCTCTCTAGTAACACAGCAATTTGGTTGCCACATATTTTCTGTTCTTTTTTTCTGGCTCGGTTTCTTTTTTTTTTTTTTAACTGAACTATTAATTAGGTTGCAACAGGCACCATCACTATGGTAACTATGTAATGAATACTAAAGAAGGAGATACAGCACTTTTGGAAATGGTCCAGGTGTAAAGATTTCAATTCCTGGTTCATTCACTCAGTTAAGAAATTTCACTATCCAATTTCTCAGAAACAGATTTACCCTGTCTTAACAGTAGTACTCTGCTTGTCTCTTGTTATTTCTATACCGTCTTTCAGGTAATAATTTATCTGACTGTCTCTATGAGGAGTGGCTGGCCGAACACTTAAGACTGCTAAACTCTCAAGTGGGAGACCCTGGCTCGATTCCCTGGTAAGGTTGGAAATTTGTCGGTCGAGGGCAAAAATAAAATCCCAACCTGCAAAGCCTATGGTGTCAGCACTAGCTATGTGGCCCTCAATCCTCAGGCTCAAAGACCTCTCATCCCTCCCAAACTTCAACAGCGGTAAACAAAGGTAGTAATGGCAGTTTTTCACTTTCTTTATGTCTAGGCTGTCTTCCTTGTAATATTTCATCTTCTCACTTGTTGTGCCCCCAGTAGAACTTCTTGCTTTATTTCTGGCTTATCTACAAAGAATTCCCACTATAATGTCCATCTGCAACTTCCACAAGCAGTTGCTCTTTCAGCACAGCCAAGTCCATACCCAACTAACACAGATAATTCAGCTGTTCCATTGTCTTCCACCTGGCCTGCACCGTTTCTTACATTACCCACATCTACTCCACAACCAACATCAGGAATCATCAAATAAATTTGTATAATAATCAACAAAAGATAACAATACATGACAGTAATCATTGACTTATCAAAGAATCCTTGCACATGATTCAGTCAGTTAAAATGACTTTCAAATCTTTCTTGAAGCTTGATTCCAATATCAGGACACTGTTTATGTCAGGCTGTTTATGTTGGGACACTGTTTTTGACAGCTTTCTGAATACATCTATTCAAACTTGATTCCCTGAGCCAATGGTAACTCGTCGCTGAAGTTCAGGGTGCTGGCGACAGATATGTGTGGATAATATTAAATACAGTAACATTATTTTCAAACCCACATATACACACTTATTACGTCTGTGTAGTTGGGTGGCAGAAAACACGTATAATACAACAAATCTAGGAGTCCATTATTTGTAGATCTTCTAAATTACTGGTAAATATAAAAACGGTGATTAGAAAGGATTATAATCACAGCACTCAGGACAGATCCATAGGTGCTTTGATCTCCTCTTTAAAAGCTCCACAAGAGTAAAACAACTGATAACACCAGTTCTGTGTTGGTTAATGGAACGTCTTGTTCCCTTATTGAAATACATAAAAACAGTGTAGCTGCTCAGCATCATCTTGTCATGCCATCACACATCCTACAGTCTAGTCTTCCCCTTCCTTATATCCTGTGCAATCCTTATATCATCATGGATGGAATCCAGTCCAGCACCTTTGGCCTCTCTCATCAACATTTGCCTCAGGTTTCTCTTGTCTATTTCTCAATGTTTTCTCCCAAAATCCTCCTCTTCTTCAGCATGCTGAGCCCTTGAGGTTCACTGCTGCAGTTATCACCTGCCTCTGTTCATCTTTGTGATTGGCCTTCTCTTTCAAGTTGGTGACTTCAAGTGTTTGTGGGACTGCTTGTATATTATCTCTCCATGACCTTCTTGGTCTGCCTCCTGGTCTACTCCCATTCAACTCTTTGGTGCATGCAGATTTGATTTCTCTGTTATCTGTCACTCTCTATACATGACTCAACCATCTTCCCAAATGCTTCTGATATTATACATCTTGCTCATCTGCCTTCAGCTTTTCCATCCAGCATGACATTTATAAGAACCTCAAGTCTTCAATGGTCTCAAAGTATTAAACTTCTCCCTGTGTTACTAGATTTTCACTGGTCACAAGCAGTTATTTTATCTTGGATGACTAGCTGGTGAAATAGTCAGAGCTGGCTGTGTAGCTATAACACCAAACTGAGCCAGCAAGAGACAAGGACAGAAAGATGGAATATTAGTAGGTCATCTGAGCTGGGTAGTCAAACTCGATCTGTGATATTAACATTGTGTTGCCACTGAGTGTCAACATGGACATGGTGTGAGAAGGTGTCTATCACAGCTAGACTGAACAAACAAAGAGAGTGCGTAAAAGCAGAACTATTGCAATTACTTCTTTTATCATTTCCAGAATCTGTATTTGTTTGTGAAGTTCTATCCCTGGACTAAAGAAGAAATAAAGAGGGATATGTTCAGTTTCAATAAAAATACAGCCACATTTAACATTGTCATAATATCAACAAGCAAACTAGGACAGTCAAAACAAAATAGAAATGACAGAAAATGCAATACAGTTATTCTTGTAATGTCTCCACAATGAAAGCTGGCTGTAGGGCATTTACTGTTGTCTTTAGGAGTATTACGTAGTGAGGCCTAAATCTCTTCCAAGGTGCAACTCTCGTAGCACTGTCTGAAAGCCATGAAAACGGACTTTCTCTAAATCACCCACAGCTGAAATCCAACTGGCAAGTCACCAGACTGTGATAACACACTGGCAAGTCACCAGATTGTGATGAAACACTGGCAATTCACCAAACTGTGATGACACACTGGCAAGTCACCAGACTGTGATAACACACTAGCAAGTCACCAGACTGCGATGACACACTGGCCAGTCACCAGACTGTGATGACACACTGGCAGTCACCAGACTGTGATGACACACGGCAAATCACCAGACTGTGATGACACACTGGCAGTCACCAGACTGTGATCACACACAGCAAGTCACCAGACTGTGATGACACACTGGCAAGTCACCAGACTGTGATGACACACTGGCAGTCACCAGACTGTGACGACACACTGGCAAGTCACCAGACTGTGATGACACACTGGCAAGCCACCAGACTGTAATGAAACACTGGCAAGTCACCAGACTGTGATGACACACTGGCAAGTCACCAGACTGTGATGACACACTGGCAAGTCACCAGACTGTAATGAAACACTGGCAAGTCACCAGACTGTGATGACACACTGGCAAGTCACAAGACAGTGATGACACACTGGCAAGTCACCAGACTGTGATGACACACTGGCAAGTCACCAGACTGTGATGACACTGGCAAGTCACCAGACTGTGACGACACACTGGCAAGTCATCAGACTGTGACGATACACTGGCAAGTCACCAGACTGTGACAACACACTAAGAGAACAGGCAGGAGAAATAGCTAGTATCTGCTATAAGGAATGCTGGCTGTGAGACCTGCTACCTCAACCTGCAGACAACTGTAGCTGTACAATTCTACCAAATGTGAACGTCTACAAAAAAGCTTGAGTGAAGTTGAGGGCTTCTTCTCCATCTGGAAATAAACAGCACAAACAGAACATTGAGGGATTAGGACCCAGGCAGCCAGG